CCCACAAGCCACGTAAAACCAAGCGTATCAGGATTGCAGATTGGCCCCAAAGGTCAACAAACGCGCTTCTGTCCTCACTCACGCGCACCCTGAGAGGCTTCCTAGGGGGTCACTCATTATCAAATTACTCTAAAGCAAGCATGCTTAATTCTAGAGTTCTTTCAATAGGACTCCCGAAAAGAAATGTGCACATTGTTGATATGAGTAGTCTAATCAATCCATTTAACCTCTAACAACTTTGGATGGCCTAATACCGGCTCATCCACTAACGGGAGTTGGCCAAGCAACGGCTCAACTTTGGAGGTATCACAATTGAACCAATGGAAGGGAAGACGATAGATACGAAAAAGGGAAAGGCAACAATGGTGCTCCTTTTCCGAATGCTCCTGTAGGACCTACTAATGAAAATTGCACCAAAGAAGACTGCAAGGGAGGTTTGAGACAACTTGAAAACTAGGTTCATTAGAGCAGATTGTTACAAAAACAGTGCATCTACAGACACTAAGAAATGAGTTCAAGACAATGTGTATAGGGGGAGAAACCCTAGAAGAATACACGGAAAATTTGAGCGGATGGCTGCAAAGTATTCCAGCCTCTAGGAGACTAAGGACGATGCAACACAGGTAAAGAAGGGAATGAGCAGGGGTTGAGCAATTTGTGACTTGGGGAATATTTTGTTTGAAGAAGCAGTTAGACGCTTGAAGGTGTACGAGGAACGTGCACAAATATGAAAACCCATTAGGCTTCATTACGAAAAAATAAAAATAAAAACATATTTGTAATAAAAGTTAAGGACGGCTGGCGTTAGCTATGTGAATTTTAGGAATAAAATTTAATTACAATTTCGTCTCTAATGTCAATAGTAACTGAAAAAATAAATTTAAAAACAAAAAAAAATTATTACAAAAATATTACTTTCTTATAGTACTTGGAGATAGTTAGTTGCTCCTTACCGAAGCACAGTGAATGGAGCGAGAAAGAAAATTCAAAGAAATTGTGACCGGTGTGGACGCATTTGGAGCAACGACCATAATAGAGGTGATAACAAGGAAGCCACAAAGGGAAGAGACAATAGAAATGACCGAAAAACCATATCATAATAGAGGTGATAACAAGAGCCACATTAAGTATTTTAAATGCAGAAAAATGAAAAACAATACATATGTATGCAAGAGTAAACCATACGAGGCAAAAAAGAACCTAACACTTTTGGAGGAAAAGACCAACTTGCTTGATGAAGAGCCTACATTATTGTTGTCCAAGAATAGAGACGATACTTGTTTAAAGTCGTATCAGGATTAAGGGGTCAAGTCTTTGTAGACTAAATATCCTGCATATGTTCAGTTATATTTTAAATATTTTCTTGCTATCTAAGTTTAGGTTTATTTTTTTCTATTATTAGATATAAAAAAAAAAAAAAAAAATTATCTACTCTTGTGTTCCTTATAAATACTTGAGTTTTGCAGCGGATTTGTATGAATTTTCAATAGAGAATAATACACAGTTTTCTTCCCTCTTTTACACCACTGTTCCATCGTCCTTTCCTCTTCAATTGTTAGGTGTGCTTCATTTACTGATTGTCCTTTCATGGCTTATATTTTAATAAACAAACACACAACCATGTGATTGTGTATGCCATCACATACATTTGACCCACCCTATTTCTCTCTAAATTTATCATTCTACTGCCTCTCATATGTATATATATATATACACACACTTTGTCCTCTTATGATCTCTCCATCAACCGTTTCCAAGGTGTGTGAGTGGGATTTGAATAGTAAAAATTTTGAATTTAAATAGTTGTATAATGTGATATAAATAGGTGTTGATGTGATGTTTTGAATGTGAAATTGATTTTTAGTATAATATAAAAATGAAAAATAGGTATTTGATTTGATATTTTTTGAAAAAAAAAATGGAATGAATAGTGAATTTAAAATCCAATGGCCCAAACAAACACACTCTTTTCGAATGATTGAAATATTTTTAAAAATCCAAATATTAATAAATATACTTTTGAGAATATTATTTGAGACCTACTTGTTTAAAAAGTAAATATAAAAATTTATGTATCTTATATGGTACCATGTCTGAAGGTTGGTAGCAACCTTAATACATAAATTTCTAGTAATTGACTCTTGTGCTGAATTTGAAGATTGATAGAAAAATTAATACATTGAGCCTATCCCAATCAGTCAAACAAACCCTTCTATTCAATCCCAATCGGCACAGGGGATCTCTCTATCCCAATCGGTCATAAAAACTCTTCATGAAATGTACCATTTTCTCTTCATAAAAAAACTTGAAACATTATTGATCTAGATCCAAAAAATAAAATAATATAAAATGTAGAAAGATATCCAACAAGTTCTGTTTGGAATCCAGACTCGCCATCCGCGTTGAGTTTGCCACTCGTACTCTTCAGGTTATTTTTTAAGCACATCTTTCTTTTGGTTTTTGCTATGTATTGCTGTAAAAAATTACCTCCAATGGTCAAATCGGAGAAGCCTATAATAATTAATTCATTTTTAGGGTTCCTCAGTTTCCTCAAAAAAGTATCCGACTATCTTGCAATGTTCGTATAATTAACATAGAAAGAGCGCGATAATTTGGATTGATAATGTAAAGAAAGTGCTAAAAAGTTGTATGGAGACATGGTGGGTGAGTGTGGGGAGGAGAAATATTCATTGTTTTCCCGATTGCATGATTGCTTTGCAAGCTGTAGACTTGTGTGTATTTCTTTTCAGCACGATATGTTTTTATTAGATGACTTACCAATGAAGTAGATGATAAATATCCTGAGTATGATATGTTTTGCACTATGTGAGATTTGAGCCTAATTGAGCATTCGTTTTAAATACTATATATTTTTTCTTGTGTGCGATAGTTGTTTTAAACTTAATTTTCTAGAACTTGCGTAGAGATTCATATTGAATTTGTTTCTTAGGAATCTGTGCAATTAATATGATAAGGACACGTTAGGGTAAACCGCTTGGCCTAACAAATCTCCTACCTATAAATTAATCAATTAGTGAGTCCATTTGAGTTCGAATGTCCTATTTTTTTTGTTAAATGAGTCGCATATTAACTTATGACATTTTTTTTCTAAAACCAATATATATATTTAAACCTATAGTCAAAGAAAAATGTTTCGAGCTCATGTCATTTTAAAGACTCGAAAGGAATGGTAAAGTTCAAAGTTGTATTTGTTGTTCTTGAGAGAGAAAAAAAAAGATTTAGAAAAAGCCAAAAAAAAAATGGCATGGAATTTTTTTGCATTGTGGCAAAAATGGACATTTTGATGTTAACTTGTTGGTTGATTTACATGTGCTATAGATTATCCTGCTAAGCATTTCTCTCTATGTAGTTTGCAAGAATAAATATGTAAGTATGCGAGTGGATGAAGGAATAAGTGAAAGACTGAGAAGTTCTATGTTAGTTATCTACCTCGCGATACATAGGGTCTATATACTACAAAATGAACTTACAATATTTTCTTTCTGACTTATTTAGCCGAATAATATCTCATATCCTATCCTAACCCAAAGCACCATTACAACCTTGTTTTGATACTCTTTGATTTTTTTTTTGCATTAGACTTCAAGAATTACGAGGCGTGATCAATGTACAAATTCTATGAGATAATCATTTCTATAATGCGAGTGACTTGTTAATCACTATATATATTTGAGTGTTGAGTGAATACACCTATCCCTAGTGAGATTATGTTGCACTCGGTTTGTTTTAAGTTTCATAGAGCTAATGATAATATGAATTTTTTCATGGATGATTGATTGCTTCAAGTTCTTGTGTAGACATTGCTCGGTTTATGCTTGAGGGCAAACATGGTTTGGATGTGGGGGAATTGATGAAGCATATATTGTCATATATTTTTGTAAATAAATTAAAGATAAAATTAATATTTTGGATAGATTTTTACTAATTTTGGTATAATCTTAATTCGTGGTAGGTTAGACTAACTTAAGATAATCATGTCTATTCTACGAGTCAAAGATTGAGGAAATCATGGGATTGATTGTTTGGGTCAAGAATTGATATTGGTAGGTTACACTCACATTTCATATTTTAAGTTGGAGGATTGAGATGGATGATTTGAGAAGAAGAGTCACCGGAAGATCATCACTATTTTATCGCTTTGTTTATTTTCAAGCGTGAATAGCTAATTTTCTTAATTATAGTCCGATGTAAGATGTAGATTCCAGATTGAATTTGTGAGATTAAGTTTTAATTTGATTTAAATCTTGTTTATTAAATTAGAATTTTTTTTATGTGATTCATGCCCATAATTGTTTTATTAAATCTTTTATCGCGGCCGAAAATTTGGTTTATTTTGTAATTGATTTACTATCACTACAAAAAAAATATATACATTAGCCAAGGATTTTTGTAAGGAATTTTATATCCCTCGAAAATACCGATGAATTTTGTTTTACAAAGAAATTTTGTAAGGGAATTAATTAATTCGTAATTAACGAACATAATTTGCAAGGAATTTAAAAATTCTTTGCTATTAGCGAAGAATTTTGCGAAAGATTTACAATTCCTCACAAAATTACAAATTAGTATTTTTATTAATAAATAATATTTTTTAAATTATTTTTAAAAAGGATCGAAAGTAAAAAAAAATAAATAATTTTCTTAATAAAATTTAGATTAATAAAAAAATAATTATTATAAAAAAATTTATAAAATATAATATAATTTTTTATTAAAAAATACAAATATTTTTAAATAAAAAATTAACATATTTTTATATAACAAATAATACTTATCTTATTATATTAGTATTATCATTTTTTTAATATAAAAAAATAATAATATAAAATAATTTTAATTACAAAAATATTATTAAAATTATTGTTACAAAAAACAACAGCTTCTAATCTAGCCGCCACCCTCACATTCTTCTTCTTCTTCTTCTTCTTCTCCTCTTTGTTTTTGTTTTTGTTTTCATTTTCTCCAATCCAAGGATTTAACGTAAAGGGACTTCTGAAAGCAGAAACTCCTACAGAAGAACCTCAGCCACACATAGACTGTACAAAGAGAGTTACAGGTGATGTGCAAATGCTCGTCAGGGTGTTTTCCTTTTGTAGTGTTTTTGAAATTCTTCTTCTTCTCCTTTTTCATTTTTCTTTGTGTTATGTTTATCTTACTAAAGATTCTCGAGAAAGAAGATTCACACATTCACATATAATTTCTGTCGAAGGAGATGCTGCAATAAAGTCTATTAAGTAGTCGAACAAAATCAAAATGTAAGATATAAAGCGGGGGGTGTTTTAGAAAGTCTCCCTCTGAGTAACTTGGTTGCTTATGACTTGTCCCTTGTGCTATAGAATCAGGCTTGTAATTGATTACAGGTTTTTCTTGCTCTTCTGCTGAATTTTCCTCTTGCTGGTCAATATGATTAGGTTTGGCGTGTGGATGGTCAACAGAAGACTCTTCTTACTGGTTCTGATCAATATAGATTCTACAGTGGCGATAGCTATATATTTCAATATTCATATCCTGGAGACTACAAGGATGAACACCTTATAGGGACATGGCTGGGAAAGCAAAGTGTTGAGGTAAACTCGTGTTTTTATATAAGCCTATATAATAGACTCATAGGTTTTCTCACTTCTGAAAAGTTTTAGGCAATTTTGAAGTTGTAGTAATGAATGATATATGAATATGCTGCCACGAAAAGAAAGGTATATTGCAATTACATCTCGTTTGACGTAAACACTGAATACTAAACTATATCTTCTCATGCAGATTCTAGACATGACGAACGGGTTTATGTACTAAGACAGTTAAAGGCATATAATTTCAAAAGTTAGGAGCTTGTATAAATTTAATCGCAAAAGAAACTTATATGATGCACTGGTTTGTACATAACTATGAGTCATAGGCAAACACTCTAAAGCAATTCGTCTGTGATTATGATATTGTTGTAGTGGTCATGTTCTTTTTTAGTGATAAAAGAGAAAACAGAAGATTTGAAAGTATAAAATATGTGCATTACTCTACATATTCATGACAATCCTTTATCAAGTACTCATAAGAAATCAATGAAATGAGGCCAGGTAAAAAACACAACATTATGTGATTTTGGTTTGGACAGGCCCGTTCCTGACTTTTTTGAGGCCCGGGGCGAAATTGAAATAGTGGGCCCTTAAATATATATTTTTATATTAGTATAATAATAAAAATAATTTTACATATTTTTAATGTAAATGTTAAAATAAAATTAATTTTTATATACTGAAACATCAAAATATGAATAAAATTAATGCGACAGTTTTTAGTATAATATAAAAAATCCAAAAAAATATATGATTTAATATTTTTTAAAGAAATTTTTTTATAAATAGTCAAAATCTTTAAAAGAAATTTTCAAACAAAGTATTATTTAGGGTGTTTTGTTTTGTATTTTGATTTGAAGAAATGTTTTTGATATAATGTATAACAAATTATGTAAATAGTAAAAAAATAATTGGCTCTGTTTACTTTAAAATTTTATTTCTGTTTTTACTATTTTAACTTTATTTTCTCTTCAAAAATATCAAATCAAACACTCAATTTTCATTTATTTTATTATACTAAAATCTAATTTTACATTCAAAAGATCACATCAATATATATTTATATCACATCAATTCCAAATTTTACTATTCAAAATCAAAACCTCTAAAGTAATATATTAGTTTTTTTGAAAAAAGGAATGAAAAATTTTTGGTAAAAAAATAAACTCATTATATAATACACAATTTTTAAAAAATATCACCAAAAAATATAATAGAATATACAAATTTAAATATATAACCATAAAATATAAATATAAATAACACACAAAATATTATTCTCTATCATATCTTCATAATTTTACATAATTTATAACAAAAATATATAAAAATTATAAACACTAAAACATATAAATACATAATTTAAAAATTAAAATAAACATCATTTATTTAAAAAATAATAGGAAATAAATTTTTTATTTAAAAATTAATTTTATTTATTCTTTAAAATATTTAACAACAATAATAATATATATTTATATATTAAGTATATAAAAGTATATATATAATTGGGGGCTCCTATGGCCCCTAGAAAAAATGGGCCCTGGGCAAGGGCCCTATGGCCCTGGCTTAGGGCTGGGCCTGATGAAAGTGTGTCTTTTTCCATTGAAGCTTTTAAATATTACTTATCTGGACTTTGAAAAAGATTCTCTCCAGATCAGCTATGGAGGTTCAGAAGCTGCCCGAGGGAGAAACTTATCGGTTAGAGCGGCGTTCCATGCCTTGGATACGGATCTTAATTTAGCTATATCGATTGTCCATAGCTTCTCCAATATTAGCTCTGCAATTTGGTTAGGAAGTCCATCAATGAGGATGACCATTAGGACAAGCTGCTTTGAATGACCAAGACAAAAATAGGCTCTGATACCATGTTAAAATATTTTGCGAAAATTCTAAAGCTTGAATTATTGATAATCAAAATAAGAGGTCTATATATAGGCAATCTAAATCAGACTTGATAGACTCAAATAAATCTAATGGGTATGAGCAAATTTAAATCAAAATCTAACAAATCTAAAACTAAATATCGAAAATCTCTCGACACCCCCTTTCAAACTCGAGTGGGATCGTAGAAACCAACTTGAGTTTGACAAGAAAGTTAAACAAAAATCAAAAGACGCAAACGCAGATAACAGTTGCTTGGTCCTTCGTCGGCGCCGCCGCTCTCGACTGAGCTCTTATTCTCGCACATAATATTTACTCGTCTGACATCGCCTTTGCCGCTCTCAACTAAGTTCTTGTTCTCAAACGCAAGACATGAATTCTAACGCAAATGCAAGCACTCACGATGGAGTAACAAGACTCTCGATGGAGTCGAAAATAACGGCACTCACAATGGAATAACAAGACTCTCGATGGAGTCGAAAATAACGGCACTCACGATGGAGTAACATGACTCTCGATGGAGTCGTCTACTAAATCTAAAACTGAATATCTAAAAAATATCTCAACAAGTATTGTATAATATATAGGTAATGATATTTGTATAATATATTGTAATTTGTAAGGATATTTGTAATGCGAGATAGATAGTATAATTACTAAAAAATGAATACTTTGTTATGAGACAAACAAAAATGAAAAAATAGATAGTTTATTAAAGGACAAATGGAGTATAAGTTATAAAAATATTTATTATGTTGGATAGGTAATAAAATTATTAAATTAGAAAATAATACCTTTATTTAAAATAAATATAATAAAAAAATAAAGGTAGAATATTTGTTAGTAATGTGATTTGTTTGTTGTTATGTTCACTTTAATATATTACAGTTCAATATTACCTACAAGTTCGATACAATAATATCAATTTAGAGGATAATTAATTCAATCATTCCTCCTAGTATTATTTAATACTCTCTCCTCTCCGTTTCATAGTTTTAATTGGGTTGGATACGAAATTTAATGAATATTAATATTATATTGGTAGTTGGTAAAAGGTATAGATAAAAGATTTTTTTGCCCTTGTGGGTATATTAGTGTAAAAAGTAGTAGCAAATTGTGTAATAAATATGAAAAAGTATGGGTAATTTTATGGTGATATTGTTATTTATGGAAATAAGACTATTGTTTTGGGACAGACAGAAATGATAAATAAGACTATTGTATTGGGACGGATGGAGTATTTCTTAATAAAATGTCTAAATTATCATTTCCTTAAGCGATAAGAATGAATAGTAATATATTTCTCAAAACTAATTTAGGTGTATTTATTTGTGGGATTTTGATTTTGGATTTAGATTTTACATAGTAAAATTTTGAATTGAAATAATTGTTTGATATGATATAAATATTTATTGATGTGATGTTTTGAATATAAATTAAATTTTAGTGTAATATAATATAAAAAATTAAATATTTTATTTGATATTTTGAGAGAAACAAAATTTTAGAACAGTGAAACCAAAACTAATATTGCAAAAATAAACACACCCAAAATTTTAAGATAAACTTAAATATATTGTAGAAATAATTAAAATATTACTCCCCAGTCAGTCAAAATTAGTTACAATTTCTTTATAAATTACATAATAGACGCATCTATGACATACTCAGGTTGCCTAGTGGACGAATCTACGAGAGATTTGCTCCGCATTTTTCCATCATAGTGTCTATCATAATCTCAAGCATGCGTTATTACTTGAAATCTTTTTAATACATTGTTGTGTTAGTCTTGTGATATATTTTAGAGTAGGGTTAGACAACTTGCAAACGCTGAACTTAGTAATTGTTCCCTTACCTTATTCAATAATGTAAATGTTGAGTTAAACCAAATACCCGTTGATATGACTTGTAAATGTTAGTGCCCCTTGGTTCTAATTTTTTCATACTCAGTAGGGCAAGCGAACTTCTGTCTATCGACTACGCTCAAACGAGATGACTTGAAAAAAAAAATCCTTAAATATGATTTAAGACACAATGCAGCGAAGCGGGGAGGATCTATTATTATTAAAGGGGACTGAAAAAGCCTAGGTGCGTGAAAATTAAATATGGTCATGAGCAAACACAATGTTTGTTTGTGACCCATCGTAAAATCTAATGAGCGATACAAAAAATAAAATAAAATTCTTCGCACCCTTCAGCTGAAGGTTCTCTTATTAAAAAATATAGTCCCCGCTAAGCGAGCAATGTAGACTATACCTGGATGACTTCGCTCATGTTAAACCAGCTGACAAGTTTTGAATGTTGAAGGATCAATTGTCTCTACTTGAGATTCATTTTATCCACAACCATGGCACTGATCTTGGGCAATACTTGACTGCCTGGAACGGAATAACTCTTATTTCACACGATTGAGTTTGTTCGAGGACGAACAAAGGTTTAGTGTGAGGAGGTTTGATAACTCCAAATATTAGCATATTCTCTGCCTGAAAAAACTATGTATTACTTGAATTTCGGTGTGAAAACCATCACAATATCTTATTTATGACATACTTTATTGATTTATTCCGCTTGGCATGATCCAAAATTGGTTTGTCGAGATCATTAACGATTTTGGCCTTTTTAAGTGATGATTCTAGTCCAGAAAAGCTAAGTCATGGAAGTTAAGCAACGGCCCTGTCCGCTTAACAAGCGACGGCACTTTCCCCTCATCAAGCGACGCCCTCCTCACTTTAGCCAGCGCCAGCAACCGGACATCCACCGCACCGAAACGAAAATGAATCAACCCTGGAAAATGCCTAAGTGTCCAACTTGCAGCGGTAAAGCCATTTTGTTACCAGCCAACAAGGATAGCTTCGCTTAGCTGTGCTGATGCCCTCCATCCATCTGGGCAAGCGAGGAAGATCTGCACCCCTACATGCCAAAGCAAGCGAAGTGAACGCCCTAGTAGTTATGGCCAGTGCAACTGCTCCAACAAAATAACCGCTGCCAATTGCCTAACTGCTCAACGGTTGAAACAACTTCCCAACTGCTCGCAACTACTGTCTCATCCAGTTATAAATAGGACCATATATCTCTTGTAAAAATATACTTCGATAAGAGTATACACTTGCATTTTATTTTCTCTGCTGCTTTCTTGCCTTTTGAGAGCTCCAACCCTGTAAGGGAGTTCTCAGTAGAAATGACCAGAGGAGTTGAGGTTCTCTCATCCTCTGGCCGCTAACTTACTGCTTCTTAGCTTAAATTTACAGTTTTAGTTTACAGCTTTTGTAGTGTCTCGTTATGTAGATTCTTTGTTATTTTCTTTAGTAAGTAATGAAATATCAATTTTTCTTCATTATCACTTCTTCCCCATTTTCTTAGTTGTACATGTTCGATTAATATAGAATCTTGAGTCGCTGAGAAAGAACAGAGAAAAATCGATTATCTAAGCCTAGTTTCGCGTCGTATTCATTAACAAATCCTGGATAGTTCAACATAGTTAAGTACGCGGAAACCTTGTCGACCTGCTTAATTACTAATCTGAATTCAATTTTGATTAAAGAGAGGTAACAGAAGAGTAAAACTACTAATGAGACAGAAAATAGAATGATTAAAGGGGCATAGACGTTTGTCTATCAGGTCACAAAAATGCCTAGTGACAATAACATTTCTTACTTATAATGTTCTAATTTTGGGCGTCATTGAAGTCTTTTTGAAAATCTCTTAAGGTCAACTATCAGCGGTTTAAGTCATGTATAATTTTTGCTTATATGATTACATTCACATCTTCTATCGCTTTCGTGTTATACATATAATCTCCGCTTATACACCATCATCATTTGCTCATATCATCCATGACAATCTAGCCATTAAGGAACTCACAGATCACATACAACATCTCCTGGGCGCCCTCTATTCAATATATATATATATATATATATCGCGCTCATCTCCTTTGCTCACCTTCGCTCATGAACCACCACCACAGCCTCCATCACTCACTAGCTTCACTTCGCTCACCCCACCGCTCACCTTTACCGCCTTCGTTACCGAGTTGGATGACTCATAAGGTGACTGGGCGTCCCAGGCAGGCAACACGGCCGTATTGATTACCATGCACTTCTAAACACGACCGTGTTCATGCTCGTGCTCTGAACACAACCATGTTCATGCCCATGTTCCTGCTCATGTTTTCAACACAACCATGTTCCGGGTCATGTTCACAATCTTGTTCTCAACACAACCATGTTTTATGCATGTTCACAACCATGTTCAATATAATCATATTGTAGGTCATGTTTATTATTATTTTTATTTATTTGTTAAAATTATTTGATATATATATTTATAATCTAACAAAAATATTTTTTATAATCATTTCATAATATAAAAAATAATCAATTTTTAATATTTTTAAAGAAATAATTGTAAAAAATATAAAAATAATAATATATTAGTATATTATTAAAAGTTTATGGTAAAAAATTTAAAATATTATTTTAAATTAATTATTTCTATAAATTAATTTATTATTCAAAATAAATTTTAAAATATTTAATATAATTTTTTAAAAATATATATAATAATGATTATTAAAAATATATATTAATATATTTTTATTTTTATTTTTTTAATTATTTTTTTAAAATATTAAAAATTAATTATCTTTTATATTATGAAATAATTATAAAAAATATTTTTGTTGAATTATAAATATATATCAAATAATTTTAACAAATAAGTAAAAATAATAATAAACATGACCTACAATATAATTATTTTGATAATGTGGTTGTGAAAATGGCCTAAAATATGGCTGTGTTGAGAACGGGGTCGTGAACATGGCCTGTAACATGGTTATGTTGGAAACATGGGCATGAAAATGGTTGTATTCAGAATACGAGTAGGAACCCGACCGTGTTCAGAAGTGCAGGGTAATCAACACGGCCGTCTTGGCTGCCTGGGACGCCCAGTCACCTTCTAAATCATCTAACACGGCCGTGTTCAGTTCCAGTCAAGTATCTTTGAACATAAATTGATAAATTTTTATTTGAGTGAAACTAAAATTGATAAAAAAAAAATTTGAATTGGACCAAAATTGATAATTATTGTTAGAAATTTTTGGGAAAAATAATGAGATTGCCTTATTGGTCATCAAAATAAGAAGCTTATATATATGCAATACAAAACAAACTTGATATACTCAAATCTAAATAATCTAATCTATGGATAAGATCATATCTAAATATAAATCTACTAAATTTAAAACCGAATATTTAAAATATCTCAACATCCTCCCTCAAACTCAAGTGTTATAGCAGAAACCAATTTGAGTTTGATAAGAAAGTTTAATATAAACGCAAAATAAATAAATAAATAAAAATAACAATTGACTCTCCACCGGAGCAGAAAATGGGATGACTTTCTACCCCGAAGCAAATAAAACGAGATGACTTTCCACCGGAGCCGAAAACGAGATGACTCTCCACCGGAGTTGAAAACAAGATGACTTTCCACCGGAACCGAAAACAAAATGACTCAACCGGAGCCGAAAACGAGATAACTCCACCGGAGCCTAAAATGATATGACTCCACAGGAGCCGAAAATGCATGACTTCACCGGAACCGAAAACGACATGACTCCACCGGAGCCGAAAACGAGATAACTCTCCACCGGAGTCGAAAATGAGATGACTCTCCACCGGAGCCGAAAACGAGATGACTACACCGGAACCAAAAACGATGACTCCACTGGAGCCGAAAACGACATGACTATGACTCCACCGGAGCTGAAAATGAGATGACTCCACCGGAGTCGAAAATGAGATGACTCTACCGGAGCCGAAAACGAGATGACTCCACCGGAGCCGAAAACGACATAACTCCACCATGGATGAAAACGAGATGACTCTCCACCAGAGTCGAATTTGAGATGACTCTCTACCATAATCGAAAACGAGATGACTCCATCGGAGCCGAAAACCACTTGACTCCACCGGAGCCGAAACCACATGACTCCACCAGAGTCGAAAATAAGATGACTCCACCGGAGCCGTAAACCACTTTACTCAACCGGAGCTGAAACCACATGACTCCACTAGAGCCGAAAACGAGATGACTCAACTAGAGCCGAAAAAACGATATGACTCCACCGGAGCCGAAAACCACATGACTCCACCGGAGCCTAAAACGAGATGACTCAACTAGAGCCGAAAAAATGAGATGACTCTCCACATGAGCCGAAGACAGATAGATCGCAACACCAAACAGATCACAAGCAGACAACAGACAAGCAACGGACATATGAAAGATCGTAGACAAAATTTCCGGCAACAAACAAGCAACAAAAGATGACAGATCACACGCAAGCAACAGATAGGCAGTGGACATATGGTAAATAGCGAACAAATCGCAGACAGATTTCAAATTGCAAGCAGGAACAGACAAGTGGCAGATAGCATGATCTCAAAATCACAAAACCTCTGGATACAATCCAGGTTGAATGTACCCGAAGAAACAAGGATTGGTAGGCTATATCTACGGCATGAGCAAAATAGACTCTGATACCATGTTAGAAATTTTGGGGGAAAATAATGAGATTGTCTTATTGGTCATCAAATCTAAATAACATAATCTATGGATAAGATCAAATCTGCATATAAATCTACTAAATCTAAAACTGAATATCTAAAATATCTCAATAATTATGATATTGAATTAGACAAAAAAATAATTTTTGTTCTAAAGAAAAACATAGGGGTGTCAATTCGTGTTTTTGGGTAGTGTTCGTGTCGGGTTGAACCATGGGGATAACAAAAAAACTGTCAACCCGAACCCAAAATCTGACCTGAAACCCTAGACCCGAACACGACACGAATTCTTTCAGGTCGGGTTCAGGTCGACCTGAATTAGTTTCAAGTCACCCGAAACCTGAACAAACCCGATACGAAACAGACCCGAAAATTTTTAAAAAAATTAAATTGACCTAAAAAATATCATTTTTATTTTAATTTTTATAGTATTATTTTATATTTAAAATAATATAAATATTATAAATTAAAATAATAATAATAATAAAAATTTCAGGTCAACCCGAAATACGAAACTCAAAATCTAACCTAATTTTTATATATCAGGTTATCAGGTCAACCCGAAATACGACCCGAACACGACATGAATTTTTTTCGTTTCGGATTCGGATCGACCCGATTTTTTTCCAACCTATTTTTTAATATGAATTGAATTTTTTTGTTTATTAATATTTGTGCAATTTCACCGATTTGTGTTTGTGATTGTTTTATTTAATTTTTTATTATGGTTGGATTCTACATTGATTTGGCAATTGAGTGCCAATCTAAATATACGTATCTATAATTGGGTACTTGTTTGATAAAGTGGTAAATAGATTGACCAGCTTGGCCTTGGAATCTCATCTTTTTGTAATTGATTAAGTATTCAAATTGAATTTATTTTTTCCAGTGCTATTTTCAATTGAATATATTATTCTATAGTCGTACATAATTTATTTTTTCGATTAGGGATGTGATTAATGGTCATCCCATTACCACCAACAAGATAAAAAAAATTGAGCATCATGATCATATTTAACTACCTATAACCACTTTATTAATTGATCAGCGAAATTATCTTAATTAATAATCAAATTCTTAATCCCCTTCTAATTCATTTCTTGGGATAAATATTTAATTGAAATTTACTTTTTTTTTTATTTATTTACAGAATTATTTTCGAACATGATTCATTTTAAGTACTAAAATAATAAATAATATCATGGATTAAAAAAACAATTTAGCTGGTGAGGGTGAGGGTATCCATTATCACACTATGTTGCATATTAATTCAATAAAATAATTATTTACAAATTACAATGTGTCAGGTCAAAGATGTTGCATCCCATCTCAATTTTAATCAATTTACAATGAAAAATAAGTAAAAAATAAATAAATGTCCAACTACTACCCTTTAGAAAATTTAATTCCAAAACCCCAACTCCTGAACAAATACTCCCTTCGTCCTCGTAATTTATTTCTATTTTTTATTTTTATATCTTCTACATAATTTGTCTTTTGTTTTTTTGGATATTTGATTATCCATTTTAATTATATTTTAAATTTTATAATTTTTTTAATTTTAATTAAATTATTTAATTTCTTAATATTAATCTATAATTATTTTTATTAAATAATAATTATTTCTAGTAATTATAGTCACCTATATACAAGAATATGCCTCAAATATATGGGAGGGAGGGAGTGTTATTGAATTCCCTTTAAATAAGCCCTAAATTCACCGCTAAGGCACTCATAAATCATAATCTTACAGTATCCAGAAATGGAGAAAACACAAAATCCCAAAACTCTATCCTCCATAACCACCGCCGATGATTTGGTCGACCGACAGAGAAACTGGGACGGCCAGAGCCTCGTCAAACACGAAGGCATATGGTATCCCGAATCCGCACTCCCATCGATACTGTCGGCCCGGACCAACTTCGGAGCCAAAGACGGTGACGTAATACTGACGTCACTTCCCAAGTCAGGGACAACATGGCTGGCTGCCTTAGCATTTTCCATAGCCAAACGCGGTCTTATCCCGCCGGAGCAGAGTCCACTCCTCACTGCCCACCCACAAGAGATCGTTCGAAATCTCAACTGGAACGAAGACAACCCTAACCTCGACGAAATCCCAAGCCCCAGAGTCTTCTACACGCACGCGCCGCACGTGATGCTTCCCGATTCTGTCCGAGAATCAGATAACTGCAGAATTATTTATATTTGCAGGAACCCTCTCGACCGGTTCATTTCGCTTCGCCATTTCTTGCTCGCGAACCGGGTGGCGAAGGAGGGGGCGCCGCCGCCGCCGCTCGCCGTCGACGAGGCTTTCGACAAGTTTTGTCAGGGGATTGACGTATTCGGACCGTTTTGGGATCACATTCTTGGATATTGGAAGGAGCATTTGGAGAATCCGAGGAAGTTGCTGTTCTTACACTACGAGGAGATGAAGGAGGACCCACTCGGGCATGTCAAGAAGATTGCTGAATTTCTAGGGTATGCAATAATTAGGGAAACATACGCTTAAAATGATATTTAGAGAAACAATAGTTTGACCTCTTTCAGAAATACACTACAATATATATATATATATAATTAGTTACAATATATTTAATTACGAAATATTTTTATAGTTAAAACATGTTATTTAGCAATGAATTTAATTTTATCGCAAAAAGTAAATTATATACTACAAAATTATTTTCATCGCTAAAATTTTTTTACTAAAAAATTTTATCTTCATAGTAAAATAGCTAAAATCATTTAGTAAAAAAAATCATAGATATTTTGTTGTTAAAACTCATTTATTATGAACTTTAATTTTATAACGAAAGAACTTTAGCTACGAAATATTTTGTACCTATACCTCTTTTCTTAACTTTTATTGCAAAAAAAAAAATTTTTTTTTTTGTTAAGAAAGTAATATTTGTCGTCAAACACCTTTAGTAATGTAGTATAGACGACGAAATGAGTTTCGTCACAAAAATATTTTACTTTGAATTAGTACCTTTTGCTACGAATTTTTTTTTTTTTTTTTTTTTTACGTTAGTTTTTAACTTTTTTGTAGTGATAGTTCATTTTTCTTTTAAAAAAAATGCTTAGTTAAATTTAAAGTTAAGTTCATTTCGATTAAAAACATATATAATTAATTTTGAATTGCAGCTGTCCCTTTACCGCTGAGGAAGAAAAACAAGGCATAATTGAAGAAATCTCAAGATTATGTAGTTTCGAGACTCTAAAAAATATCAAGGCAAACACCGAAGGATATGTACGCGGGACATTCAAAAAATCAACTTACTTTAGAGAAGGTAAAGTTGGCAATTGGAGTAATTATCTTTCGCCGACCACGGCCCAAAAAATGGAGAGGATGATAGAAGTCAAATTTAAAGACACAGGCCTTAATATAAAAACGAAATTCCATATCGATGAAGGAATGACTTAAATATGTTTATAGTGAGAATGGTTAGAATGCTAATAAGGGTTAATCACCATTAACCCTAATGAGTATTTGAAATAAAATTACATACATGAATGAACATTTCATGTGCTGTAAAAGTTGTTAGCATGTGTATGTCTTGTTCTCTTTTTTTTTTTTTTTGGTATTAACATGTCTATGTATGTTTTGAGATCAATTGGAAGATGTATTATGTGGAGTATTGTTATATTTTGTCAATTATATGATGTATTTAATTTATATTAAACTTTATTTTGTGATGCTCATTTATACCTCAAATCTGTTGATCCATATTTCAGTGTATTATCAACAATGAGCTTATTATAATTAGTTAGTTTAAGTGTATAATCTCTACATTCTTTTAAAAATATAAGAAAAAATAATTATTTTTAATTTAAACTTTTAGTTATGAAATTAATAACTAAGTATATAAAGATAGAATTGGATGTGATAACTTTTTGGGCCTATTTTTAGGCCCAAGCACGATTTTTTCGTGCTGGGTTCTAATTGAATTTTTTGGTTATCTCTATATTTGCCAGCTCTAAATAAAATACCATTGACCATTCCAAGATGCAGTAGAAAATAGACCAAAAATATAATGTGAAAAAGTTCAAGACTTCTTTAACTCTCTCAATCTTTATTAATTAATTAATTTTTTTGTTTGCTTCCCTTTGATGCACTGATACGAAGTGGAAACTTTGTTTGCTAAGGAATTAAAGATTCACTCGGACACAAGAATTAGTATTATCTGCTTAAAAATTTGACTAAAGCACTTGTGCCATATAATGACAGAATCCTCTAAAATTTTTCTTTTTGTACATTTTGATAAAGTTTGTAGTAAAGAATTATTGAAAGTTATTAAGCATATAAAGATTATCAATTAAAAAGTCATCACCAATAAGTTTAAAATTTTGAAAGAGACTAATTTTTTTTTTTTTCCAGACAACTAGGAAACTTATAATTTATCCGAAGTAGAAACTGAAACTAATTTCGGTCTGCCTGACAGTACTATAAAAGTCTCAAAAAGATCTACATAGGAACTGCTCTTTACATACAATCGAAAGGTTCCAATTGTCTTTTTGACAACTTTATTATTATCACCCACAAAGATGAATATTTCATCATTTTTTGACAATCAAGCTCCATAAACAATCCTGCAAAGACACACTTATGTGAGTAGTGACTCTTAATCTATCCATCAAATATTTTTAGGTACAAAGGATATATTAACATCAAAACAAATCAAAAATAAGCGATGTTGTATACTTGGAGAAATCTGTTTTTTTTGCGCCCCAACTTTTTAAAGAAGAAATATTTTGATTTCACTTATCTCTTCTTTTGCTTCTTCAAAGCATCAATCATGGTACTCTTAAGTCTATTTTTCAATTTGCCTTGAGCATTTAAGGTCAAATGAGCACTTTTAAATTTGTCTCTATGCATTTTATCTTCTTCTTGCATACAGTTATATATAAGTTTATTAAGAAACCATTTGTTCTTTTTGAGTATTATAACACACCTTGAATTGTCCAAAATCGATCTCCACACACAGTGATTGCGGAGGCAACGTGATGCTTCAATTGAAAAAAATTGATAAGTTACTAGACTAATTAAATAAAATATTATATTCAATTGAATGATATTAAAGTGTCTCCCCAATTCAAAATATTATTAGATTGAAGGGCCATGCTTCAAATCTCATAAATCAATTTATAATTATATATTTAGATATATACATAATTTACCCAAAAATTAACATAAAAAAATCTTATCAATTTATTCACATCATTAATATGGATTATAAAATTCTTTTATTATTATTTTTAATATAATAATAATAATAATGAAAAATTAATTAAATGAATCCATTTATTGTAGATAAACATCCCACAACAAGATTCAGTATCTACCACGCGCACTATAATTGAATCATCCAACCATTATGCCACAAAATTAATTTTCAATATATATATTTATTTATTTATAAGATAAACTGTTTTTTTTAGCCCCGTAACTTGACCCCTTATCATTTTAGTCTCGTAAGTGAAGCATATCGCAAATTAGTCCTATAAGTGGAAAATTTTCGTTGTTTTAGTCCTCCGGCGCCGGAGATGTCCGTGTGCCTCGCCGGAGGTGACGTGTCCGCCAGGTCAGCTACACCTGGTGGACATGTGGATTTATTTTATTTTTTTTCATTTTTTTAATTTTTAAAATTTTTTTAAAATTGGACTTAAAAAAAATAAAAAAATGCAAATAAAATTAAAAATAAATTAAAAATAAGTTTTTAAAAAAATGAAAAAAATAAAAAAAATCCAAGTGTCCGCCAGGTGTCGCTGACATGGCGGACACGTCACCTCCGGCGAGCCACGCGGACGTCTCTGGCGCCGGAGGATTAAAACAGCGAAAAGTTTTTACTTATGGGACTAGTTTGTGACAGGCTCCACTGACGGGACTAAAATGATAAAGGGGTCCAATTAGGGGACTAAAAAAATAGTTTACCCTTATTTATATTTATATATATATATATTCCTCTTACAAGATAAAAAAAATAAAACTATAAATAGATATAATGGTATATAGGTGACTCTCATACCACTTGTTGGAGTAATTTTATATATAATTCACTTCACACTTCGCTAATCTATATGTCCTATAGTGTTTTATATGATAAAAACTTAAATGAAAATATACCTGGATTTATGGCGAGTTTTAAGATGCAAAATTTTGAATTCTTAAAGGTTGGTATTATGATTTTTCTCAACTAAATCACCGAATGAGTCATTCATATTCTATTATGATGGAAAGAATATGAAATAATGATTTATTTAGTGTGTGAGTATCATAACTAAATGACATTTATATAAGAATTAATAGGTCAACAATAATCATTTAATTTATACACTATCTGCTATCTATCTAATTTACTCTATATTAATAAGGTAATAAATAAATTCTTTCATAATTAAATCATATAATTTAAATCAATCAAAAAAATTATTAACATTTTTCTATATTTAAATCATGCAATTCAAGTCAATTAAATAGATTGACTTATTTCTAAATTAAATTATATATAACTAATATAATTGTACACTATTATTTGCATATAAAAAAAAAGATTATATTTTCCTTAACAATTAACATATAAAAGATAGATAAAATTGTCGAGGAAGAGCAAAAAAACCCAAAAAATAATACACATCAAATGCACTAATATTTTTTAGATGAATGAATTTTTATATTAGGTATCAATAATTGTATTGGTAAAATAAAAAATAATATTTGTATTATATTATTGATTTTTCGCGAGTGTATAAAATTTATATTATATGTATTGTATTAATATTTGTGTATATTATAAATTTTTAAATAATATTTATAAAGAATCTGTACCCCATAAAAATACTAGGTGAGCTAATTCGTTCCCTCTCACTATTTCTATATATTATTTTACATAGAGATATATTATTACATTTATTAGTTATTTTTATATTTATTGTATATATATCTATATCTATATGTTATATCATACTCCATTCGTCAGACTTTAAAAATTATAATACTTTTTTGCGTCATTGTACTTAACATTAAAAATATTTTTATATTTATCTAATTTTTTTTTTTTACAAATGTCCTTCTATTAGTATTATAAGACACTAATGAAAATATTTTTGTACTTTTTTTCTAAATTTGTATTATATTTTAATATAATAATTAATATTCAAATATCATCAGGCAAAACGTAAATGAGACCTTTAGAGCCGGACAAATATAGTATTAAATATTATATAGTACGTTATCAGTACGAGATACAAATATTTTGTTCCCAAAAAATTCTCATACCCAAGTTCTATCCCAGATATGAAAAGAAGACTTCAAAGTACTGCATAAACTTTGCCAAATTTTTTTGCCTTCAAAAGTTTAGAAAAAAACAAATATGAATATTTATGTCCATAGACAGCGCATCAGTTAACACCATTTTGAAAAATAAGAAATATCTTTCTAACCTAAAGTATAGATGGTAACGCAAAATTGATTAAAAGTTTCGGAAGAACAATATTTATTCTTCCCGAATGACTAAAACTTGGTATTATAAATACACTATTTTCGAGCAAATATTAAAGAAATTTACTAAGTTTTAATGATATTCGCCAAAATAGATATCATATTGACACATCAAATGAATCAAATAATAAATTTTTAATTGTTAATTACAAAATTCATTGACAGAAAAAATATATATATTAGAGAAATTATCTTTATTGTCTTACCGCTTATATTACACAAGGTTGAGTGCAATTGAAATATATCTGATAGTTCAAAAGTCATAAAATTTTATTTCAGTCTTGTATGGAGATTTAAAGGTGAAAACCAACTTCGCATGAAATGAATTAGAAATTCTTAATAGTGATCCATGTGAAAGTAAATATGGGCTTTGAATTTAACATTTGTGAGAGTGGACGGCTGAGGAGCATTATACCAGTTGGCAAGCTTTGACCTGCGCCTATAAATAGAGGTCAAGCTGAGCTTATTTGTAACAATTCACTTTTGAAAAATAACGAACGATTCAGGAGAATTCAACCTGTAAGGGGTTCTAAAAATCTCTCTCGGGTGGTTGGCAACACTTGTAACAAGAATAGCATGCTTGCCACCATTCCATTTAATTTAGACACTTGCTAAATTTACTACTTCCATAGTATAATTACAATGTTCAATTCATAGTGTAAACGCAAAGTTCAATTTTTATTTAAAAAAATATCATGTTTTTGTATATCACCATCATTCTTGGATGGCACAAGCATAAGAATATTGTCTTGCGATGTGACACGCACGAACAAAAGTTAAAATGTGAATATAAGTCACTTAAGTAAATCCGGTTGGAAGGTTTTGAAAGAATTCCTCACTGCTAGTTAAATTTAGGACCTATCGCTAAAGCGATTCCTTGAGCATAATTTCACTTACAGTAAATGACAGTAGATAAAGAGCGATCTAATCACCTAAATAATCAGTTGCAAGTTTTGAGGAGAACGACTCATAAGATGTTTAAATAATAAATTCAAAAATAGAACATTAACACAATAATTAAGGATTCGATTTGTCTTTCTGCAATTATCTCTAGGCCTAAACAAACTGTTGTGAATGCAACGCGAAAAACATATAAGAACCTTATGTGATCACCTTGACGCAACACTCTCTCATATGAAGTGTATGCATATATCG